AAAGAAATAATACTCAAGGGAATGACATGTGGTCTGAGATGCAAAACATAGCTGATGAAGAAAGAAATAATACTCAAGGGAATGACATGTGATCTGAGATAGGAAAACATTACTGATGAAGAAAGAAATAATACTCAAGGGAATGACATGTGGTCTGTGATGGGAAAACATAGCTGATGAAGAAATGAATAATACTCAAGGGAATGACATGTTTTCTCACATTGGAAAACATTATGCCCAAGGTCTATTGTTTATTAGATACTGTAGCATAGCAGACAGAGAACAAGGTTTATTCTAGTAAAAAATGATATTTAATGAACTGATACTAAATAACTGATTATTCGTAGCGTTAAGACCAAGAGAGACAGCAGACGAGGCTGCATCCTGGCGGGAAGCTAAAGAAGGTTACATGCATTTTCTTTTTGCAATTGTTTGACCACCCTCCCCTCCCCCACTACGTAATATGTGTTAGTACTACAATAAATAGGCACAGGTCTTATTGACCAGTACTATAGTCTGTAAGGTAACATAAGGGATGTTTATGCGTGTGTTTGTGGTGTCAGCATGCATGTGCTTTGTTTACTGTCACTCTTGTTGCACCTTGTTAAAATCACTGTAGAAAAAAAAGAATGGAATTAATGATTCTAGTTTACTTAAAGGTAATTTACACAATGAAGTCATATTTGTTTTCCACTGTGTGTGAACATCGTGCTAATGATGATTGTGTTTCAGGGCCATACGGCAAGCTTGATGTGTTATATGCAGGAATAGTTGCCGAGATCTGTTGTACACAGAACAGTAACAGGTCAGTCTCATATTACAACCTGTAGCTGTAATGTTTTGGCCGAATTATAGACAAGAAATATCAAACCCTAAAACAACCTCTGGGTTGATTTAAATCAGGGCACAGCTAATTCACAGAGCAAGCCCTGAAACAATGCCTGGGTTGATCAAAGTCAGGGCACGGCTAACTCACAGATTGAACTCTGAAATGACCTCTGGGCTGGTCTAAGTCACTGGGCATGGCTAAATCACACATTGAACCCAGAAACAATGTCTGGGCTGATCTATGTCAGGGCACTGCTAAATTATGACCTGACAATTGATCTTTTATTTCAGATTCCTAATCTTCTTTGATGATGGATTTGCTCAGTACCTTCCCCTACACAAACTGCATCATGTGTACCATACTGGTAGGTATAAATCCTTATGATTAACACACT